TAACCCGGCTAGAACCCAACATGACAGTACGTGCAGCATGCATGATGTAATTGAAGGAGAATGGAGCGCAACTCTTGTGATCTGTGTTTTTAGCTGTATGTATGGCTTACAAAGACTCAACATAAATGACCACAGCATTACCCTTCATCTCAACCCCTAGATTTGGTGTTGGAAATAAAGACTGAGACTTCTGCTGGCCATTGGACCACAACTTGGTATCTCTCTGGTGCTCTGGAAAGTGTTAACATACAGAAGCTTGAGATCTGGCTCATCCATGAGGGTTTTTTTTTTTTTTTTTTTTTTTTTGTCACCCACACTTCACCTCTCTGAATGTGAGTATCATACTCTCCTGAAGATCAACTCTGGTTAACTGTGTCCTGGTCTGGTCTTGTGCTGGCCTTTGACTAAGTTTTGGGCAGTTTTTTTCCCCACTGTCCTGGAGAGAAGGTAGACGGAGACCATTTCTCCTTCAGTAAGAAAGGGTTGAGTGACCAGGGTCACCACAAACTTTGCAGAACCTCAGAGAGCGATCAAGGTTCTGCAAGATGGTGCATGATGGACTAAACCCAATGGACTTGTGTTATAGCGAGTAACTAAACAGTCAAGCAGATACATTAGACAGTGCACACCTTCCAAATCCACAGACTGATGAAACCACTGATGGAGAGTTTCCCAATTGGGTGAACTGCAATCTGAGGCTATAGTTGGCACTGAGTGCAGTGGGACAAGTGAGACAGTAAGCTGTGTAACAGTGTCACTGGCTACTGGAACTGCTGCTGACAGCCTGCCATCCCGGGGGGCAGCAGTGGTCATTTATGGGCCGGCGTGCATGAAGACAGGATATTGTGAGATGCATCACTGTGTTGGTGTTCACCTGTCCTGGCTGTATTCGGAGTTTCGCCTGAGCCACTGCAGCTTGCACATGGCTGGGCATAAATCTAATTGATGTGGAGGACTCATGGCTATTGGCTCTGCATTCTGGAATGCACTGATGCGTTATTGCACTTCACTTGTTGTCCACTCCTCAGCAGCCTTAAAGATGCACTGTGCAGCAACCTGTGGACAACTGAAGATAGGAGAAACCCCTGACAATCAAGATGGCCCAGATCCTCAGGACTGTGTCATCATGGCACCACTGTGATCAGGTCTAACCTTTAATTCTGTGCTATCTTTGCATTAAGAAAAAGAGAGGTCAGATCTGGCTTCACTGTCTTTCATTCCATTTGTTTAAAATGTAAACAAGGTAGCTATAGTAACCTTTTCACCATGTCAATGTTCTTTTTAGGCCTCTAATGAGCCATTATTTGATGCTTTTGTTGAAACTTTATTATTTCCATCAGGAGGATGTTTTTCAAAGCTGCATGGTTCTGACAGTGACTGGCAGACAGATTCAAGGGGAGGAGACTGGAACCAGACTACAAAACAGCAGGAATTAAAAAGCAAAAGTATTCACTACCAAGAAATCAACAGCCACAGTTCATCGCAGATCAACTGCCTGCAAGAAGACAATGGAAATGACCAGCCATGGTTCAGCTGGTAAGAAAAATTCATGATTTATACATTATTATAAAATGGAAATCTATAATGACTCACAACACAAGTTATTTTGTTAAAAAATGTTTCATTTTTATAGGTGGAATTAAACTCAAGAAGTTGCACAGTTATTTTTGCAGTTTTCTATTAGGAGGCTTTAAGTGACATCCATGAAAAATCAAAGATTTATTGCTCAAATAAGTAACTGAATTAATGAATAAATTAATTATACTTTTGAAAGCAAACACATTTTAAGTGTTCAAAGGTCCAATTTACCTTTGAACACGGAGCAGAAAGCTGTCGCCATTGTTTCTCCCTAAGTCCAATGGGTGGCTCAGATTGCTACAATTAATAGTAGCCACACAGACACCAGCTAGAAAGAAACAAACGCACCCAGTACAACACTTTCATTCTATTGGCTGAGAGGTTGCCGGGTGACTGTGCCAAAAGGTGTTTTCAAAAGCGAGCAGAGTGTGAGGGCAAGAAGTTATGAGTACAATCATTACAAGTTTTGAGAAGAAAGATATGAAGTCCTGTTTTCAGACAGAAAACTTGTGCTTTTGGATCATGGCAGAAAAAATTCCCCCATATAGCAGCTTCAAAACTGTGGAATGAACTGCACTTTTAACAATTAACAATGGAGAAGTTACTTTTTGTAAGTTCAAAAACACAATGACAAAAATTTCTCTTGCCCAAATGTCTGGAAAGCTGAGTTTTCCTTTGGAACCAATAGTTTCAGTTACACATCAGTCAGTGCTCTATATATGGGCATGAATGGAGGATATGTTACATTTTATCACAACATATCGTGTTTATTGCAATAATGAAAAAAATATTTTAAAATTAATCTTTCTTGGCAATAGATAGTGGGAGTATGTCTGATGTAAATGTTGCTCTGCTATCTCCTGAACTGCTGTGTTGTTTTCAGACCTCAGATTGGTGCTGGTGGGTCAGGAAAGAGTCGGGAAGAGCTCAGCAGGAAACACCATCCTGAGAAATAAGGAGTTTAACTCTGAAGACGGTCTCAAGCTGCTGACTCGAAGCAGTAAGAAGGCAGAAAATGAAGTTTTCTCTCGTAGAGTCTCTGTGATTGACACCCCTGGACTCTCCAGCTCTGTTCTTCCTCCAGACGAAGTGAAAGCTGAGATCCAGAGAGCTGTGGAGCTGAGCTCTCCTGGTCCTCATGTTTTTCTGCTCACCATCAAGCTGGGAAGATTCACTGAACAGGAAGAGCCAGGACTGGAGATGCTGCAGGAGATTCTGGGTCCAGAGGTTTCCAAGTTCACCATGATCCTGTTCACCCACACGGACCGACTGGAACAAACAGGCATTAATGTTGATCAGTTTGTACAAGAAGATGAAAACTTGCAGAAAATAGTGCAGAGCTGCAGTGGGATGTATCATGTGTTCAACAACAAGAAGATGGAAAACAGGAAGCAGGTCCAGGATCTGCTGGATAAAATAGATTCACTCTCAGACGGAGGACGTCGTTTTTATCAGAGGCAGATTTCTCTGATCACTTTCTGTAGATGGGCTCAGTCATGGTGGTCAGACTGGAGACTGAAACTTGGAGTTTGCTTTCTGTGCTGTTGGATATTGAGCAACATCTATAGTCGGTTGAGAAAAGAATAGAGGAAGTAAAAAATTACCGGAGGAAGAAAGTTTCATGGAAAATGTCAGTGTGAATAAAATGATCAATTATCCATTACAATCCAAACTTTTGTTGTAATTGGCTGGACTTAAAAATAATAAAACTGATTTAAATCAACTGGTTTGATTCTTTCTGGTTTATTGCAGCAGGGACTGGGTTTTGTTACATCAAGCAAACTGACCAAGAAGATCAGGGCTTAAAGATAATACAATATGAAATGAAACAGTTTCTCATCTAAATATAAGTGGTCTGAAGTTACATAACATAACTTCAGACCACTTCATCTCCATGAAGGAGGGTCAAATTTGAAAAGCTGCATTTAATTCTTAAAATAATAAAACAACTAGTCAGATATAGTCAGATATTTGTTTTTCAACAATTAAGGCTTTCTTTATTTAGATTAAAACCTATAACATTAAAATGTTAATTTAAAATTCTGAAAAATTATTGATCATATTTTGATTTACTAGTTAATTAAATGTAGATCTTAGAGATGTGATTAAAACTATGTTTTATTACAGAAAAATACATGGTTAAATATAATATTGAAAGCAAAAATAACCATTTAACTTTATCAAACGCTTTTTCAGTATCCAAAGGTACAATGGCTGGATCTTATTAAAGTCATTAAGTTCAGCAATCTGCCTACATTATGAGTGTCTATTTTTAATGAAACCAGTTTGATCTGGATAAATTAAGGATGAGATGACTTTTTCAATTCTGATTAGTGATCATTTTCATATCTGTATTTATTGAGAGCTGTCCATAGCTACAGGTGACCATAGGATCTTTGCCAGGTTTAAGAACTGTAATAGCAGCTGTATTTAAATTTTGAGGAATAAAACCAGTTTCTTTTATTTCTTGTATTAATTTGAGATATGCTGGATTAAGCATATCCAAAAATTTTTTTTATAGAATTCAGCTGGAAAACCGTTTGGTCCTGGTGCTTTATTGTTTGGCAAAAGGTGTTTTTTGAATTGATTAATGTTTCTGTTCATGGAGCTGCAAGCAGACCAATTTGTTCATCTGATTGATATTGTTTAAAAACAATCTTGGGAATCTGTCAAATGTGGTAGATTGTTTAAAAAAAGAGTTAATTTCTCCTTGGGAAGGATTATTTTCCTCAGAATACAATTTGGTATAAAAATCTAGAAAAACATCATTTATTTCTTCTAGCGACTGGGTCAGTTTCCCTGCTGAATCTTTAATAACAGAAATATTTTTTTTTCTTTCTTTGTTTTCAGTTGATTGGCCAAATATTTACCAGATTTATTAGTACAGTGACAGTTGTCTTAAGTTTCTGTAGTAAAAAATTAGCTCTCTCATTTATAATCCTATTTAGTTCATAACTTTACTGATGTACTTTCTCTTCAGTTTTTTCTGTTGAAAATTCTTATTTCCTCTAAATTCTTGATTTCTGTCTCTATCTGAGTTTTTTTTTCTCGTTCCTCCTTTTCTTATGGACTCCATAAGCTATGATTCTGCCTCCTGTGCAGTTTTCCCTGTTTCCCATATCAGTGATGCTGCAGTATTTGGTGACTCATTTATCTCCAGGAATGACGCCCATTCCTGATTCAGATATTTATCAAACTCTTGGTCTTCCAGTAGTGATGGATTATGGAGTGATTATTTCAGGGTTGATCTATAATTAGATCTTGTTTTCTTATCAGGTTTAATGGATTTAATACTGTATTAAAGTTCCCACCTGTTATTATTTGGGAGTCTGAAAATTCTGAAAATATTGTAAAGAAATTTTGAAAAAATAATTGACTATCTGTGTTTGGACCATAAACTTTGGCTTTTGTTAGTGTCTGATTGTACATAGATATATTAATTATTACCTTCAGGATCCACAATAGTTTTATGGTGTGTTACTTGTATATTTTTAGCAATCAAAATGTAAAGTCGTCTTTGTCTTGAATTATATTTTTAATAAAATACTTGGTTATACTGGGTTGTTTTTAGATCAATGTGATCTGTGTTTCCTGAAGGAGACAAATATCAGCATGTAGATCAGATAAATGTTCAAATATTTTCATATTTTTTTTACATGAACCTTAATATTCCAGCTAATAACATTAGATATTGCATTTTATAGTGATAAATTCAGTAAATATTAAGGGGAAAAAACAAACAGGAGAAAAAAACAAGCTAATAAATTTTAAATAAGCAGAAACATAATTAAACAAGATGGCATTATTTAAATAAAAACACAGCATGTTCAGGTTAGAGAAGCCTGGATGTGGCGTCTTTGTCTCGGTATAATCTGCCACTATTATCACGGCTTTCTTTCCTTCAGTCATCTTCAACTTTCTGATGGGAAAAAGTTTTTTCCTTCTTTCGTTTATTTCCTGTGGAAATTGTTCATTCAGTCCATAATTAATCCTCTCAGTTCTCTTCTTTGTTGCTGTGCCATTTGTTTATGTTTAAATCTTTCAAATTTGGGCCGTTGTTTGGTGGTTCTATTTGTTGTTGACTGAATTCCAGACAGTCATGCAAAGCCTGAAATTCGTTATGCAGTAATTCGATCAATGAACGTCTATTTTCGAATTCAGGCAGCTTTTGACGATAAGATGCCACTCACCTCTCGAGGCCTGGGATTGAATGACAATGTGGGTGAGTTATCCACACGGCGGGTTCTGTTAGAGGTTTCAGTTGGAGTGCTGTGTATTCATGGTGCAGATCCGAGTGAAGCAGTTGTCGATGTAATCCTCTAAGGCTCCCAGAACGTTAGAAAAGATTGAATCTGCTGCTCCACTTAAAGTCTCGTTTTCAACAACAATCTGGCCAGGATGCAAAAAAGTATCAAAACAGAAAAAACACACATAAGCACTGAGCTTTAATGTTTTTTCTAAGTTGTTCCAATTGTTGGACGCAGTGAAATGAAATGAGAATTGACCAAGTGGTGTATCAATATGTTTATGAAAGAATAGTAAATAATCTATATACAAAATCCATGAGGTGTATCAGCTACTGTGTGAGCTAAACTATAAAATGTATTCTAAGCTTTGTGCATGTGTGTTCTGGTTTCAGTATTCTTCATTAGGTATAAAAGCATTTAGTGAATATTTGTTGGCTATTTAAGCAAATTTGCATGAGAAATGACAATTGACAAAGTTTATATGTTGTGTTCTTTGGGTTATTTCATTCTGTGATCTACCTAATTTTCCCCCAGATCAATAAATCTAACCATGAAAAACATAATTCTGTATTTGACATCATTAAATTTATAAGTTTCTTCTTCCATTTGGCCAAAAAAGTCTTTCAGTTTATTGTTGTTTTCTAATTCTTCAACAGTTGAGAAGCCAGAGCTCAGGATCGTTCTTGTCGGGAAAACTGGAGTCGGAAAAAGTGCAGCAGGAAACACCATTTTAAGGAAGAGAGCTTTTGAGTCTAAACTCTTTCTTTCCTCTGTGACACAGGCCTGTCAGAAGGAAACCAGTGATTGTGGTGGCTTAAATCTGGCTGTTATTGATACTCCAGGTCTGTTTAAGACGGGTAAAAGTAATGAAGAGGTTGTGAAAGAGATCGCTGAAGGCATCAGCCTGGTGGCTCCTGGTCCTCATGTCTTCCTGATTGTGCTGCAGCTGAACAGATTCACAGAAGAAGAAAGAAAAACCTTGGAAATAATCCAGAAAATGTTTGGAGAAGAAGCAGCCAAATACACCATGGTGCTGTTTACCCATGGAGACGAGCTGAGAGAGGAACACATGACAATGGAAAACCTGTTGGAAACATCCGAGCCTCTAACAAACTTCATCAGTCAGTGCTCCATCTTGCAGACATTCGAAGATAAATATCATGTTTTTAACAACAAAGTTGAAGATCCTACTCAGGTCAGGAGACTGCTAAGGAAGATCAACAGGATGGTTCAGCGAAATGAAGAAAGTGGAGGAAGTTTCTACTCCAATGAGATGTTTGAAGAGGCACAGAGAGCCAAGGAACAAGAAGAGGAGCAACTGTTCCTAGAAAATCCAGACATTAACCCTCAAGATGCAAGAAGACAGGCAGAGAGTGACAACTCATTTATCCGTGCTGCTCTGAAGGCTGCTGGTGGAGCTGCTACTGGAGCCATTGCTGGAGTTGCTACTGGACTGGTTTTGAATACTACGACTGCTGGAGCTGTTATTGGGGGCAGGGAGGGAGGAGCTGTAGGAGCTGCAGTCGGAGGATCAGTGGGAGCAATGGTTGGAGCGGCACTAGCAGTGAAAGAGATGGCCTGCATTATACAGTGATGATGACGTGTCTGATGTTTGGTCTGCATCTTATTAAACCCTGATTTCATAATTAATGTAACATGTTCAGTTGTGTTTTGCAACATTAACAGCCTGAGTATTAGAGCGTGTGAAGCATAGGCGTGATCTCCATCATAGGACATGAACCTGCTCTTTTTCACATGCTTTATAATTAAATACATTGTTGTCATCTCTGTAATTTTTTCCCTTTTCTTTTTGAATTTGTAAAATGTCATTGTTAGTAGGATTTCCGGGGAGAACTATTTTTTCCGTAAGTGATAACTACAGAAATGTAAATCTAAAACTTTTATTCAGAGGAAGAATACAGCCGATTTAGATGAAGAAGCCATAAAAACCTGAGTAACATTAAATTAATACAAAGGTAGAATAGCCTTAGTTTTAGAATAAACATAAAATGTTCATTAATAAATTGCTTGATGAGAGAAATTAGATTTTTTAGTCACATGGAAGCAAAATTTCAGATCCAGTGGACTTTTTGTAGGCAAATGCTCAGGAACAAAACTAAAAACAATCCATATTTCCTGGTTTAATGTAGCAATACTTTATTAAAGGACTCCGGACCAAGATATCCACTGCAAGCCAAAGAAACGACAACAAAACATATGGAGCATCGTGCATGAAGAAAAGATCTGAAAATTGAGTGAATGTGTTCATTTTCATTAAACTTACTGACATGAAGGAAAATTACCACAAATAAAGTCACCACAGGGTAAGGTAAGGTAATTTTATTTATACAGCACATTTTCAGCAGGCATTTTACTAAAATATATGAATCCAGTCACATTCTGAAGTCCAGTATGAATAATTTCACAAAATTCAATTATGCAGTGTCGATCAGTTAAAAACATTGTGGCTTTCATCCTGAGTAGGTACATGGTAAGAGTGGAAGGAAAGACTAACATTGACCAAATATAAAGCTTTATTAGAACCAGGACTGATTGAGGAAACTCTGGTCCTCTTGTTTTTACTTAGAATCTGCTTGATGAAGTAAATCTTTGGCACATATGACAATAAGCTGTGATTAATGTCACATCTGAGGAAGCTGCACGGACCAAGAAAGATTCCTATTATGAGGACCGGGTCTCGTTTAATCAAGCACTTAATGAACTGACCAAGTGAAAAACGGACCAAATGACCCGGTTTGGAGGAATTTACACAACATAACTTCAGACGGCTCCATCTCTATGGGATCTACCTTCAATATTTAATTATTAATTCAAATCAGTAAAACACCTTGAACCAAAACCTAGAATGTTTAAGTTATTTTTAAATCCTGAAAATTTATTGATCATATTTTTATTTACTAGTAAATTAAATGTAGAGCTCAGAGATGCCATTGAAACTATATTTTATTACAATAAAAGAAAATATTAAATTGATAAACATTTGCAGACAGAATATAAGGTTGAGTCATTACAGCAGGAAAACTCTGGGAGGTTTTCCACATTTCAGACACAAGATCCTCTGAAAGTAGATTTTATTTACAATTTTGGAAGGTTTCATAAAAATTGTCTGTAGTTTAGTCTCAACACAGTTTTTAAGTTTTTATAACTGACATATCAGAAATGTAGTTTTTTTAATAAAATGCAGTGGCAAGGAGGCGTCGGCAGGTGGTGCTATTTAACCATTCAGTCACACATTTGACAAGGGAACTTTTACGCATATTTACAATTTAATTAAAATATATCTGTAATGCTCAAATTGACAACATATGCCATATTTACAAGAACCGACCCTTACAAAGGCAAATTAAATTAATTTACACGCTTTCCTGTTATTGGTGTCCAGTTTAATCAAATTTTGTGTTTCAAAGACATTTGGCTGTTTGTCTTGTCTGAAACTAAAAGTAGAAAATTAAAAGTTATGCAGATTCTATATCTTCATTCATTTTAGACAAAGGTTTGTACCTTTGTCCATCAGCCACTGGGTGGAAGGCCACAAGTCCATCAGGGATACAGAGACACAGGAAAAAGATGGTGGTTGTTTTTCCTGACAGTTTTACAGACATCTGACCGTCTGTAAAACATTCCTCCACAATCTACTATCAGAGTCTGCATCAGAAAGATGAACATCAGCCTTAAGAACTTCTGAATAATGAAAACTTGATGAAGTTCATACAAAAAAAACTGTCTGCTGAGGGAAAAAGATCGGTTCTGATACCAAACAGACACAACAAGCTAAGATGGTTGCCTTTGTTATAGATTCTGTCTTTTCCTCTATCTCTTTTAGCGTCTTTTATCTGCTTACATGCACATGCTGCAGCTTACATCACCATGTTTATGTGCCGGCAGACAAACGTAAACAGACTGAAACTGATTAGACTACCCTTTAGGCAGGGTACAGATTGCATAGAAGAATAAAAGCTAAACTCGCGCCACAATCCTTGCCTCACTTGGTTCAGTCCCTGATACTCTGCCCCAATGCCAATATACTTAAAATACATTCTAAGTATATTTAAAATGTATTTCAATCACAAAAATAGTACACTCAAAACATATTAATCAAGCATGTTTTTATTTTATAAAAAGAAATATACTTAAAATATACTAAGTGTAACTTAAATTGTTCCAAAAAGTATGTTGAAGTATGCTTAGTACACTTTAAATTGTGCTTTAATACAATTTAAATACTATTAAAATACACTAAGCATAAAAATTAGTTGTTCCAAAATAGCACATGTTAAGTTAACTAATCCTAAGAGAACTTGATGTATAGTCAAGTACGGTCTGACTTAATGTATGCTTAAGTAAACTAAAACGTAACATACTTAGTATACTTATTTTTCACCAGGGCAGGACACACTGTCCTCCATGTTTTAGATGTTTCCCACTTCTCTTCTTTCCACTTGCACTAAAAAAAGGTGCACCAACAAGTTTCCTTTTCAGCTCCTGAATGCTTTTCAACTGATCTGCCAGCTAATTTGCCTAATAGAATCACGTGCAAGGTGCCCTGCAGCCCATGTTGTCATTTCAACAAATGAGATACCCATAATAACAATCCCTTGATACTTTCAGATAGCATCATGCTACTTTTTCCCTTTTATTTCTGGAACAAAGAGATAAGATGCATCCAATAAGGGCAGGACTCTTGTCATTAGCATCTGTCAAAGCTGTTTTAAAATATCAATAAGCGCTTTCAGGCATTTGGAAATTGTATCCATGGATGAACCAGCTCAAAACTTCTACTTCTCCTGTCATTTTTGCAAAATTACAGGTCAATCTCTTCTCTTCCACTCATCAGCAAAGTTATTGTAAAGCTGCAGTTCAATACCTTGACAATCACCAGATGCTTTGACATGTTTAAGTGTTTCTACCACTTAAGTCTTATTGTTAGTTTGTGGAAGAACCTCAATGCTTTGAGATGAACACTTGTGATAATCTAAATGTGCAGCTTTGTATACTGAACCTTTGGGAGCTTTTATCGCAGAGTGAACCACAGGACTCTGCATGCTGTTAAAATGCTCACCTGTGGGTGACAGAGACTCTTTAGAGCCCATACAACTTAAACTTCCTGCATAAGAAAGCTCTCAAAACTCCTGCCCTCATCAGAAAGTCATGGAGAGGCGCGAAAAATGGTAAAACCACTCATTTACATGAACTACAGCAACTGTAGGAGCTCTGCTATCGCTTGACCCAACAGCTCAGTCATGATGAGAACCTTTTCCTTTCCATCTTGAGAAGACTCAAAAAGAGTGAAGTATGCGATCATCATTCTGATGTACCATGGCTTCTTTAGCTTGGGGATCTTCTAAGGAATCTGTAAGGAGCAACTGAAAGACATTCTGTCCTCCGTCTGACCACACCACCAACAATGACGGACATGGAGCTGTACCACTCTGTCCCATCGCTAGCAGAGTTCAAAAACCAGAGGAGAGAGGTTGGCTCTGCCTGCCTAATCACGCCATCTTTAGTTATTTCAAGAAGTCAAGAAGGTTCCTTATGCTGGATCAGCTTGTTGGATTAGATCCTCTCCACCGATGTCAGTCAGACGTGGATCAGCATCTGCTGTAATTTCTGGTGGAGTCATCACAACCTTCAGCACAACCAGCTCTGTACCAAACAATACTAGTCAAATCTGGCAGCTGTGCTACCCTGAAGGTCCAAATTTGATTCTTTTCACATGACCAAAGGAGAAAATTAGTCCATTGCTTACCAGGAAAATAATCATAGCATTGTTGTTTCATGGCCCATTTTAATTCTAGAAAACTCTAAATTGATGGATCTGTAACTGGGCATGTTTCTTTCTGCAGCCCAGGACTGGGATAAGTAACAGCTCAGGCTTCGCTGTCTTGTTTCTGGTACACTGCAAAAACACTGTAGCTGATATGAATCTTTAAGATGAACAGCAGAGATAATATCATATGCAAAAACTGTTTCACTGAACAGTTTCTTTTCACTTCCTGAAAGTTTTACATATCATCCGTATGAGATAGGTGACTAGCCTGAGTGGGTAGTGTATAGAAACACAAAGTATCATTCCATCTATCCATCCATCCATCCATCCATCCATGCGGGGTCACCCTGCACAGGTCGCCAGTCTGTTACAGATAATAGCATTCCAGTTCATGCAACATGTTCCAGTAAAAGGGCTTTTTATTTAATATAAATACTTTAATTTTTGAATGTGAATGACTGATGTGGTTGTAAATCATTTTTGATGGCCAGTAAGGGGATTGAAAAGTGCTACATGAGTCTGATGTAATTTAATTTCATAAATAAATATTTATGTAACTTTTTGTTAGGTTGATTGGTCTGTATAAATTCTCACTAGGTGTTGCATGTGTGTGTGTGTGTGTGTGTGTGTGTGTGTGTGTGTGCATGGTTGTTTGTCCTGTCTGTCTCTGTGTTGCCCTGCGATGAACTGCTGACCTTTCCTCTCGCCAATTGACAGCCGGAGACGGTCCTGCTGTTATCACAGATATATTTTACGCAAATTATACATGGAAACTAAAAAGAAAACTGTGGTCATAACATGACACCAGACTTCACCACCAAGACTTAAAGGTTTTTAGGAGGGCTAGAGTTTGCTTTTTTGGTTAGAGACTTTGTATTCACACCTTTCCAAGCAAACTGGCCTTTCTAGAGTAACAAGCTCCAGTTTGATTAAAGTGGACTGAACATCCCTGTTGAGTCCAACTAAAAACCAAACAATGAGTGGATCATTACAGCTTTCCTGGATGTTTCCTGCTCACCAGCTGCTCCATGTTCCTTCCCAGCCTGATGTCTGGTCTTTATTGTAGAGATGCCTGCAGGTTTTCATCACTTCATCCCAGTTGTTCTGGTTCTGTTCTGTTTCTGTCCGCACCAGAAGCTGCTGCTGCTATGCTCTGCTTCACTTGTTAAGGTTCCTCTCGTCACACAACAGATAGAGTTTAATTTATTCACATAAACACAAAAGACCAACTTCCTGTTTGTCAGCAGCTGCTGCTTTAGTTTTACATCATAAGGTTTCAAGTGAGTGCAGTGTGATTTTCTCCTGAATTATTGAATCTGGGTGTCCACAGAAACATTGTGAAGCATCCAATAACTTTGTCAAGACATAATTGATGCTGATGTTGTCCAGTGAAAATCCCAAAACTCTGAAAGTCCTTCAGAAACCCTGGAGAAACTTCAGATTTCTTTAGAGTAAATTAAAGAGTTTACTGATATCACACTAGGGCTGCAAATAACGATTATTTCAATTAACTGGAAAAAAATTGGCTCATTCTGCAAAGTTTTTGTTTAACCACTTAAGTCTTATTTTATACAACATTAACGCACAATAAAAGATATAAATAAAAAAATGTTGCTTGATCTTTTACTTCACGAGATGCATCTGTAGCTAAAACAAACATTTAATATTTTGTGAAACGCTCAGTCCTTTCTGTCATGATCGGTGTAGTTGGTGGTGGTGAGGAAGACGCAGGTGGACCCAGGATGTAGATGAATGAGATGGTTTTAATTAAGATAACGCTCGGAGTAGTCCAGGTACAGACAGCACGGCAGACAGACTAGCGCACAGCTAAAATGCCGGTAGCAACAGATTAACGGAACTAACATGCAAGCAAAACACAATCCAGGACTTAGCAGTACGACCGGAGAGCAATACAGCGTGTGACCGACAAAGACAAGGACCCGACGAAGAACACAGACAACAGGTGGGTTTAAATACACACGGGGTAATTAAGGGAATGAGACACACCTGGGAAACAATCAACGGGGAAGACGCAGAGACAGACTCACAGGGAACAGGACTACACAGAAAAACTCAAAAATAAACACACAGAAACACGGATCGTAACACTTTCTGCTTGATTTAATGCAGTGTTGGGGCGATCAGTTGATTATCTTTTGAATTAATTGCTTTCTGGGAGATTTTATTTACATAATTTAGCCAGGTGAAGCTAAAAATGCCACTTGAGGAGTTCTGGGTAGAACATAATTACAGGACAAGGTTTTTTTTTTCTAGTTTGAATGTAAAATGTGAACAGTTTTTGTACAGTTTTGGCTTCATATCTGCTCTGAATATGTTCTTTTAGCAAATAGACTTTTTAGAGTTTGTAGCGATTAATTGATTGCTAAAATAGTTTATGATTATTTCAATAATTGGTTCACCACAATTAATACTTTTAATCATTTCAGCTCCATATAATACCTTTCAAAACTTTACGTGGTAAGAAAAAAGGCTAAAACCACCGACTTTAAACATCACAATATGCATATGTGGATTTAAATGAGTTTAGGGCCGTTTGGATTACAAAAAGAAAAGTATGGAAAAATTTGAGACATAAAGATGATAAGATCTTTCCTGTTTGTTCCTCAGGAAGCAGTCAGGTTATCTGTTCTCCATACGTTTCATCCTCTGGGTTTTTCTTCAATGTTATCAGTTCAGACTTTGATCTTTCTATGTGCATTGTTTGTTTTTTTGTTTTTGTTTTCATGTCAGTGATTTAAAGGTCCTGCAGCAAAAGAGCTGATCTCAGGTTCACGTTCCAAACACTTCTGCATGTTTGGTTATCAGATTAAAAACATTTGTATCAACAGTGGATCTGACCAGAGAACTACACCCATGTGACTTCTTCTTCTTCTTCTTCTTTTTCTTCTTCTTCTTCTTCTTCTTCTTCTTCTTCACATAAATACCTTTAAATCTGATGTGATTTTAATAAAATGACTAGTTTTGTTGTGTTTATTTCAGTTGCTGAATAGGGACACTGCACATTATTATAACGCTTGAACAACACAAATATAAACACACAAAGTCTGATTTTTATTGCTTGTTCTCCTGCCAGAACACACAGAGTAAATAACCTAATATTAAAAAAAAATCTCTCTAAAAAAACACTAAAAAGTAATCCATTGTACAAAAATACGTTGTACAGGACAAGTTGTGCAATGTTTCAACTTGATTATCAACACATATAGAGCAGTATGAGATTTTTTCCTTTAATGTTCTGAAAGAACCACCTGATGGAGCTCAGGAACTGTTTTATCTCCAGGTTCTTGGAAGCAGCTTCAGTGATCAGAGCAGGAAAACCTGTGAGCTGATACAGAACCTGCATCACTGTAACTACTTGCTTTGTTTTTTATTTATTCCTGTGGTTAAATAAAGTTTTTTTTAGTAGAAAAAAATATTTATTGTCTTCTAAAATGAGAGAAAAGTGTCGTTGACTTTGTCTCCTGATCATAAACCAACATCTGCCTTTAATTGACCTTTTGTTTGAAATGTACAGAGACCAACAGGTTTCTGTGGGTTAAAACCTCCTGTAGTTGATGACAGATCTCAGGACAAAAGTTTTCTTCATATGGAACATATCATGGGAGGGGATCAGGGCCAGGATATTATATAAGAACAGAGACGGAAGTCAAAATGTGCATCAGCAACGGATCAGCAGCGGCTCTATATCACCTCCACCTGCTGAAAGGAAGATGTCCAAAACAAAAGGTGAGTTAGAAACTAAGTGAGTGAGGTGAGTTAAAACTCCTTCCTTATTCACTTTGGATAAAAAAAACAGGTGAAAACTTTGGTAGCAGTTTTGTTATTTTCTATCGAAATTAATAAAAAAACTGAATATTTGATCTACTTGTATTTGTAAGAATAAAGAGGAAACAATTTAACTTCAATCATGGCTAATTTATAATATTGGAAACAATAAAGCACTGCGGTAAAAACAAAAAAAAGGTGATAGTAATTTGATCCCATCATTTATTTTTTCTTCTACAAGCTTCTTCTGGGTCAGGTTCACAGGACGCTGGCGAGGCTAAGAAGAAAAAATGTGATCGGAAAACAGGTGAGATCAAATCTGTCTGATTTATTTTCTGATATGTTTGATCAATGTTTATGTCAAAACAAAGAAATGTTCACCTATGGTTTGGTTCTGATATAGAAATATGTGCATACACGGCTGCATTTGATGTAATATGCACAATCAGAAACTATTTTTCTCACTATCTGAATTTAAATCAGACTGATAAGACTACTTTTTTGTTTTTGCTTGGTTAGAATTACCAAAACTAACTAAATGTCAGAAAATTTGGCTAGAACATTTTTTAGAATTTTTTTGTGACTTTTCTTGAATTCAAAAGTTTACATACATTTCACCAGTAAACTGTTTGTCTTGGGCCAAATATCTGGTTTCAAGTGTAGAAGCTACATATGATTTTATAAAACATACTTTTCATTCCATTAATGTTTAATTTCCATATTCACATATTATTTGTGATTGATTTCTTCCAGGTTCAGATCCAGAAGAATGTGACGTTACCATTCTGCTCATTGGTAAAACTGGAACTGGCAAGAGCTCTGCAGGAAACGTCATTATAAACGCTAATCACTTTGCAGTTGGGCAGAACACGCTGGTGTGTGAGAAGGGATTTCATAACTTCCCTGATGGCCGTAGACTGGTAGTGATTGATACTCCAGGTCTGTTTGACACCAAATTGACCCCTCAGGAGATGAAGAGACAGCTGGCTAGGTGTCTCTCATTGTGTGCTCCTGGTCCTCATGTGTTCCTGATTGTGATCGAGTCAACAAGTTTCTCACAAAAAGAAGAAGACTTGGTGGAAATCATCAGGAAGATTTTTGGAGAAAGAGCACCTAGATATGCCATGCTCTTGTTCACTCATGGAGATCAAATGCCTATAGGTCCAAACGGACAACCAATTCTGCATCTTACCCCACCTTTAAATGATTTTGTCAGCGAATGTCGGGGAGGTTATCATATTTTTAACAACAATATTGGGAACAGAACTCAAGTTAAAGAGCTGGTGGAGAAGATTGACAGTATGGTTCAGAGAAATGGAGGCAGCCGCTTCACAAATGATTTGTTCAGAGAAGCCCAGAGAGCCATTAGAGAGGAGGCTGGAGGAAATAGAGGTCCAGCAGAGAGAAACAACTCGCTTATTCGAGCTGTTGACCAAGCTGCCATTGCTGAAGCTGCAGCTGAGGTGGGAGAGGCAGTGAATAGAGGCAGGTCAGTGAGAGACAACTGGTGCGTAATCATCTGATTAAAAACACTGCAAATAACCACAATGAGGATGAAAGACCCCATTTAACCATCTGACATAATTAGTTGTTAATGAATAGTTATTAATCATATATGAATGTGATTTGTTATTTGAAGACAATGATTAACAACTGCATGTTTCTGATTTGCATATTTTAATTTAGCGAATAAATTTGTTTTTTTTATTTATTTATTTTAGTTTGTTGTCAAAAATGAATTCAAAAGATGTTTTTAATTACTAATAACTACAAAGTTATTTGGATTATGTTCTTTACCTTGTGTTCATAATAAATATTTAAGCACTTCATTCAGTTCTGTGATTTTTTTTATTTATTTTTATTCAGTTTTTATTTTGTACAAGCATAAAAGCCAACAATTCACACTAGAGTGAAACAGAATGTTAGTGTTTTCATAATCCCTGATATCCTTTTGTTTTAGATGTTTTATTCCATCACCCAGCCAGTTTCATTCATTCATTCATTCATTCATTCATTCATTCATTCATTCATTCATTCATTCATTCATTCATTCATTCATTCATTCATTCGTTCATTTATATACTGTTTTTACAAATATTTCCAAACATTGTATATTATGGGAGGTAAAGATACAAAAAGTACACTGTCATGAAGAAACAGCTACAGAAATAAAGGATGTGGAATAAAAGACTTTAATGACAAGCTGAACTGAATTTTCAGATACGGACTGAACATCAGAACTAAAGCTGACAGAAAAACAGACCCTAGGAACTGAATGAATCAGCAACAGGGTAATTAAGGCTAATTAAGTGGATAAGGAGCAGCTGGGATTAATCACTGGGGAAGAAGTGGGCATACAAGGGCAAACACAATTGTGGAAAACATGATTCATGTTGATCTGTGAATCAACAGAAATGCTCAAAGAATATGACAATCATAAAAAATACAAATGGACAATCTGGGAAGGCAAACATTAAGAGGAAATCAACAAGAATATAATCTAAACACAAACAATCCTGGGATTGTGATTAAAAACATACTGAAACATAATTCTATTAAGATTTATCAAAAAGATTTTGGTTTTTTTATGTTTAGTCATATCATTAAAAAC